TACGAATGCGAAGATTATCGAAGCAGCAGTAGAGTAGAGAAATCAGCTCTTAAAAATTGTCACTTAATCGAGAATTACTTTATCGCGCGAAGGATGTCATTCCACTTTACGAATTGATAAGGAGAATACTGGGGATGGCGATGCCCGGAGACGGCATATGCGGAGTTTTTCAGTTAGCAGTAGGAAAGAAATCATTTGACGGAGAAAATGGAAATAAGAGACCAGATGTGTCCCAGACAAAAACTCGCCTCTGATTGTCACATCATTTTCTTTTTCCCTGTTCTCCCCTTTTTCTTCGGATCCAATACCTAACCGAACCATTTGCGGTCTTATACCGAATCCTACGGTATATGCAGATTTTCATCCGCGATAATCAGTTGCGCAAAGGCTGTTATTGTATCCACAGTTGTTACCTTTCGCAGATAGAATTTAACATATTAGGAATATCGCAAGGTGATATTGAGTAAATTGTCATCCTATAAATAATGAATTAAATTGCGCCGTCCGTTCTAACTTCATTTGTTATAATGTAACTGTAATTAACCATCGCTTTTTTATTGAATTATTTCAATGCATTTAAGGCTCTAATTTCCTCGTTGCAGCAATATTGGATTGTACCGTCGGAAACGAGACATCATAATACGAGTTGTTTTATATATATATATATATATTTTACATCGAAATAAATTAGTTATTTTCGCATGCCATCACTCACATTCGGTAATGCAGATTGGTAAAATATAACGAGAGCTCTCATTTTATTTCGCGGATTAATAAATAATTGTAAATCTCGATGAAAAAATATAGGATAAATACAGATCGATTATATTTCTATTTAATAACACAAAATAATGAAAAAAAAATGGAAAGCAATCTATATATTAGGTTGGTGCGTATGAAATGTCGCATTCTCTTTACATGCGGACGTTTTCCTCCCTGTTTTCGTTATACTTTTGTATTTGGCATAACCTCATTCATACTCGTATTGTCCATTGCCAGAGACTCATTTCAACAAAATAGGTTTTCTCGAAGGTCTTCCCTTTTTTATTTCTTTTGAGTTTATTACCGATATGAATTCTGCCGACATTCGCGTCATTTTCTTATATGAGTACAAACTTGGTAATAGTGCTGCAAAAGCTGCACGCAACATAAACCAAGCGTTTGGGGAGAATACGGTTAACAATCGGAAAGTGCAGCGTTGGTTCGAAAAATTTCGGACTGGCGATTTTTCACTGCAAAATGAGCCGCGCGGAAGACCCAAAACGTCTGTGAATAATGATGACCTGAAGGCTCTAGTGGAAGCGGATCCAGCCGTATCCACGAGGGAACTTGCTATCAGGATGAAAGTTGACCATACAACGATATTGAGACACCAAATTGTACTCCCATCGCTTGTGAATCGGCATGGCCCGCTACTGCTCCATGACAACGCTCGGCCGCACACATCGCACAAAACAATTGCGAAACTGAACGAACTGGAATATGAAGTTTTGCAGCATCCACCATATTCACCGGATCTCTCGCCGACCGATTTTCATTTTTTCAAGCATTTAGAGCTGTTTTTAAGAGGCAAACACCATGAAAATGAAGACAGTCTAAAAAACTCGATATCAGAGTTTATTAATTCTAAAGACCAAAATTTTTTTAAGACAGGCATCTACGCTTTAAAATCTCGTTGGGAGAAGTGTATTGAAGCGAATGGAGCATACTTTGATTGAATAAACAGCTTTTGAAGAAAGATATACAGTTTTATACAATCACTTAAGAATCCGACATTTCATATGCACCAACCTAATATTATCGAGCGTAAAGAGAGGGGGAGAAAGAAAGAGGGAAGGCATACAAAAAATACTAATTTATTTCGACATCCACAACACGGAGGAAAATTCATCCGATCTCTCGTTCCTAACGTTATGACGTAATATGACTGCAATTAGGGGTTAGAAACCTCAAGATTAGATTCGCTTTGTTGATTGCTAGATCGATTTCAAGTTGCTCCACGTATCTCATTCGTAAGATCTCCGATTTTCTTATTATAGGTATTAGTGAAATCTCACGCTTATTAGCGAAGTCTCTTCATGACCTTGTAACACTAACGAAGATATCACCGCGGCGAACCAGTTCTCGCGTAAGCGCGGAAGTTTCGCTTAACGACGAAAGTACCAAACTCGCAGTACGAGTCGATAGATACGGTTAATTATTCTCAAGGAAAATTCCTCGGACGATAACTGAGATGCCGATCTAGGCTCTCGGCCCTACGGAATAAGATGGGATAAATAATATAATACCGATAAGAATGCAGCATGAATTAGGTGCAACAGGGAATTTTAAGCGTGGTTTTGAGAGCTCGTTCTTGCTGTTAATAACGATGGAACGGTGCAATTTATCTTCTTTTCCCGTTCGGTGCCGAACTCGTCAGACCAGTGAACCTATCCTGACGTCCGCTCGATTCTTCGCTATTTTTACTTGTTCACAGCTCTCAGACAAAGCTGTTTGTGCTCGTTGGAAAAAAAGCCTCAACAAATATTTGGACCAGTGTCAAGAGAATACTCCAACTTTATTTACCATTGTTGAAACATTTCGTTATTTGTGTCGCACGTTCGACAATACTCTGCGCGTAAAATAATTTATTCCACAATGATGGAGGAAAATACAAGATTCAATCTTAGATGAATCATGTGCTGCAATCAAATAATAGACAGCAAAATGAAAAGCCGATAAATCTGTGCGTAAATTGAAGATAAAACTGACAAGGACGAAATATAATCGCAAGCAGGATGTAACGTTTAATCCCGAATCTTCGTGAAAATGATATGTGATCAAACTGATCAGCAGTAACTCTATCATGATGTAAATCTACCAAAAAGAGTATATGATAATATAATTTTAAAATGAGTAAATCTGGAAAGCGTATAAAATTGAAATAAAATTCATGCGTGTTTATGTATTTTCATACTATACTATATCAAGCAATATGCAGTTATTATTCAAAGTACAAACATTAAACATTAAACAACAGGAATCAGATTTTACTTCTGTTATTGGATACTTTATATATATATATATTATTATAATTTCATTAGGTCAAGCTGAGAAAAAATCAATATTGCTTCTTCGATTAATATAGAAATTAAAAATTGTTTAATGTGAAACACTTTTCTTTTATTACGTATACCTCAGCATCACGAACAAATCCAATTTTCCATGAAGATAAAAAATACATTAGAATGGCATCGGTGAAATTTGAATTTAAATGACTTCTTGCAAACACGCTTGTTTCATACGCAAACAAACAAATTCTTGTGCGAGACATGGTACGTTTGATTGGTCAATTCGTCGACTTCATTAGAGAACTTCACGCTTGTAATCCTATTTAAATTTGTTACCGCAAACACATTTTTTTTTTCTTTTGCGCGATATAGTAGAGGAACGACTCTGACGAAAATAAATCAATAATCGTTTCGCTGGGGGAACGACGTGCAGATTTGAAAGAATTTTTACGCGAATTTACCATTAGGTTTCTGGCGAATATTATTCCAGCATATCGTTCGCGAAATATCGCACTTGAGCATTTTCGAGCGACACGAAAGAGTATGTCTAAACTCATCCCGGTAGTTTTACGCTCTATTTCGTATGAGCAAATTCACCAGCAATTTTTCACGGAAATTAAATGTCACGTGAAATGAGTGCACGGCACATCTCCGACTTGCTTCTTGATAAAGAATGGGTGATATTATTCTAATGGTACTGCAGCCGCATCCTACATGATTCTACCATCAACCGTGCTCATCAGTCTTGTATGTCGTACGTTTCGTTCTGCGATGTTGCCCTTCGGCAAACGTGGACTGTATATTTCTATTAGTCCGTTTTTGCATGCATGTTATTCAATAAAAGAAACTTAATAGGTCTCAGGTCGACCCGTATATTTTCAGTAAACTTTCCTCACGGGGAGACCACGTTCAGTAATCGCGAGCTGTGCAAGAGAGCGATAATATATTGAAATGTCGTATTTGATATTTTCCGGTATTTACTCCTACGATTTTATTTATTTTAATCAGCATCTATTTTGTATGTGCAAGGTATGGAACCAATTGCCGTTTGTTTGCGTTTATGCGAATAAATTGAAATTTCCTGTATAGTACGCGACAGGGGAAAGGTGTAGAATTAATATCCGTTGCATACTTTTGTTATATTAGCGTAATATCGTGCGTCAAGTACATATGCAAAATATTTTGGGTGGTGTGCGAGGTAATAACTTAAATAATATAGCTTGTAATTAACATCACAATCGTGTCATTTTATGCAGTAACGGCAATGCGATTATATTTTGTGGATGCTGTATTCAAGTTAGCGCATCGTCTTGAATCGTCAGGATCGACAGAGAGAAATTTCAATCACACACGAAGCGACCAGTGAGCTAACAATTATTCTTCGTGTAAAAATATCACGCGGAACGCACGAAATGAAACTTCGTTTCGACAAAGTCCGTGAAGATTAGCGTTGAAAGTCATTAGCGATAGAAAGTCCCGGCCGAATATTTACATTGCTAGCCCGTGGTAAAGAGCAGAACGAATTATCCGTGTTCAACGTGTTTTGTTTCTCGGGGGTGGTAAATAAGCACCCCGTCGCGGTTGACATGTAAAATAATTATAAAAAACCCCTCGTGTACAGGGAGGGAACGTGCGGCGCGCCGAAAGAACGCGCGAAAGAGAAAGAGTGCGCGGGAGGGTGCGAGTTGGGGGATGGTGAAGGAGAACAGACAGATAGCTAGCGAGAGGGTAGACCGGACTAAGAAAAGTCGAAAATCTTAATTCGGGAGCGGTGCCGCCCCTGCAACACGATGGGCGGTGACTCGCAAGCGCCGATTGGCCTGATTCAGGAAAGGGTGAGAGGGTCTTCTGCGGGGGTGGCAGAGATCTGCGCCGTGACGCCGGGACAGCGGCGTGTGCCGTCGACCGGTTCTACTGGTCTCCTCTATGAAACGTCAGTCGACGCCGGGCGTCCTAAGCGCGCAGCTGCTGGAGCTGTCGTCGTTCCGAGCACACGTAACGTGACTGTCCGACGAGAATCAATCGGTGCGTGTTACGCGACGAGGGGACTGAAGCCGGCGTTGTTCAAATTTCGAAAATATCAACCGAGGAGCACTCGAGAAGTAGCGTCATACACAATACACGCACATACATACACACACACACACACACACACACCGACCTTCCGCTCTTTGGACGTACTATCTAGGATGCATCGGACGGACATAATTTTTTACAAAATTCTGACATAGGCTGGGTACAGTGGTCAGCCTCCCAGATGAGAGATCTCGCTGGACGTTGTTGCGGGCAACGCGAGAACCGTCCATCTCGTTGGATATCCAAAGAACGGAACGAGTGTCTCGGAATAGTTGCCAGTGATCGAAGAGACTACGTTGGTGAACTGATAGGATGCGAATGTGGACCTTACGCGGATGATACTCGTGCCGTGGGTTTTGTTAACTGGGTGATGCGGCTACATGTTGGAAGGAAGAAAGGGATGACCGTTGATTTTCTACCGAGGATGGTGACGGTCTTTGTTTTCGCTTGCCTTCTATTGCAGAATAGTCGGCCGACATTTGCAGCATTTACTACTGGTAACGTTAAAATCCTTTTATTGATTAGATATGTTCCGGAGAAAAAAGCGCATGACAAGCGAATAACTGGTGTCCCGATTGTTCATGTGTTGCCATTTCTAGCCATTCACGGTTATTTACTTTTCGTAGGATAGTTGAGAAAAGTCCTGCTAAAAATGTTTGCAAAACGTCGATCCTAAGAGTGATGAACACAGACAAATATGTTTCTCGCGAGAGATTTCTCGAAGAAACCAATGCTTCTATTTGTTAACAGAGAATTATAATAAGACACAATGCGATTCGTGGTCAATTTTTAGTATTGTAAAAGACAGCATCATAAATGTCTGAAACTGACTTCTTGAAATGCAATATTAAACACAAGAATCTGAAGGACATGTATATTTTGATAAGTGTTTCTTTTGGGATTTTGGAGTGAAACAACTCCTCGGAGTCATCATCGTATGTTTAATTTTGAACAAATATTGTCAAAATTAATGGATATTTGAAAAAGTGCTTTAAATTTTCTGGCTAATTAAAAAGCTTCATAATCGTGCATTTCGGAATAGAAAAAGAGAACGGAGAGATTTCTCGAAAATATAATATTGTTCAAAATATTTCTCCAGTTATTACTTAACAAATTCCAAGTTTTGTGTGAGAAAAAAAAATGAAGAAGGAACGTTTGTATATTACAATGTAAATGTGTTTTTTTCTATACTTGCTGCGATCAATATAAAACTTATTGTTTAATATCTTCAGAGGCGGGTATTTAATATCTTTTCTGGCTTGCGCGAAAAATATCACGCATGAGAGACGTGATTCCAGCGCAAGAAGTTATATATAACGACCTTTTGAACCAGCATCGTAACTTCACTATCGTAACCTTTGATACCTCAGTGTTGCGAACTCTATTCGTCTCAATTAAGGATATTATTAGAAAAAATAAATGCGTACACATATTTATTTTTTTCATACAAAGTATACACTGTACTGTTATATATATGTAATGTTATATATAATCGGTGGTCGCACACAAGCCATTAAATGCCATTGTGACCAGTTAACACCGTTTTTTCCTCGAATATTATTTTTCCGATATTTGTACACATAATAATGCAAAATTCCATTACTAAGTACCGGCAATGAAACAAGCGCAACATAGACGTGGCATTTTCAGCTGTAGCGTTACCAGTTTCTCTTATTTCCCAGAGATGCGGTTTCGCAAGACAGCATTGTTGTATGCGAGTGATTCTGGTATTAAATACTGTTTAATTTTCGCGAATTTCGAAATTTGCAAATGTAATCACGGACGTTGGTTGTGCTTTAAAAAATATTATATTTTTGATTAAACTGAATGCATAGTTATAATGTTATACTGTTACATCGTTAAATAAACTTCAAATGCTATGAAACTTTCGTTTGAAACATTTTTCGTACATATCTGACGGTTTCGACGATTTACATTCCGAATCACACATGTCGAGTTAGTTTCCGGAAGTTGTTTTACTTTCTCGCATTTCAAAACAAATACGTATAAAAATATTATGTCAAATATATTTCTGTGTTCAATGACACGTTCCGCCTGTAACGTGTTCTTTATAAGTCAGAGAGTGATTGTTTATTATGTGAAATACTTATCTTGATAGGTAGGCGCGCATACGCGTGTATGCGAACGTGCGCGTGTGTGAATTTCTGCTTTAGAAAAACAGAATATTTTACGTTCCATCATTTTTATAAAAAATATTGTAAAATTATCGTTCTAGAAAGAATAGCGATAAAATCTTATTTTTGCAGCGGAAAAGTACCGCTTAAACTTTATATATGTTTATACTAGTGTATCGTAAATTATCATTCTTGATACAGCTTTTAATAGAGATGATGGATGACTCGTCGGAGACACCGCTATGTAACTATTACGCTACATATAGAACGTTATCTATTCATTCTGAAGAATAACGATCGCAACGCTTTGATTCTACCATTAACTGTTTAGTCCGGTTTTCTATAGTCAATCAGCGGCTGCACGTATTGCAGAGCTCGTAACAATCTACGTATAAACTGTGTCTATATCTTGCTGATATCCCCTACGTTTGATGTGCAATAGTGCGATCAGCACGTCTCGGATTTAATTTTGGTCACATTAAATTTGTCGCTAAAAATGATATACAGCGTTATTTTATAGCTTTTCTACGTTATACTTGATGACTGTCCAGCCATATAAGAATGAATTCGTTTTATTTGTAGGTTAGTCGTGACCATTTTTCCGATTTCAGGGTGAACGATCATATTTCCGTAGGACTCGGATGAAAATTCAAAGAATCACATATAACGTGACATAACTTTTCCAATAATTTGAAGTAGAAATTTGTGAACTTTGTGTTTCACAATAAAAAATTTTATTAAAAATTGTTGTATGTTAAAAACGGCCCACTAAAATTTGATATTCCTTCGTACCATAATGTATTAAGAATATCACATCTTACGTTTGAATTATAGCAATTCAAGAACATTGCGAACATGAGAAGAGACATACGTAAAGTCATTGATGATGCAATTAATGACGGGGGAGAAGCGCATCTCACGATGTAATATCATATTTCATACGACACGTTGCATAAAACGCGTTGCATTCACCGTCTTCCCGAGCAATTGGGGTGATCATCGTCGTTCCGAATGACACGTCTTTTCGTTCTCCCTCGTAAGCACTATCACGAAAAAGCTGCTCGAGGGGTTCTAATACCGAGCTTGCTGAAATTACGCTTCAATGGCGAAATTGCGCTAGGAATGAGCTACGTCCTGTGCGCGTGCTTCACATGCATAATTCATAAGCGAGGCGTCATGGTGAAACCTTGGGCGATAAATATTTTTTGAGGACGGAAGGATGTAAAAGTGCATGCAAATGAATCTGGCTGTAATGCAGTGGCTACTACTTACACAGCATTAAGCCCCTCGACCGACACTTTCTTTTCCACACCTTTTACTTTTCCGCCTTTTACTTCTTTATTATTTTGCGTGTAACGTAATTAAACGGTGAGTGAATAAAATTTTCGAAGGCCGCCGAAAACAGATGCAAATTAATGCTCCTCACTGTGCCGGTGTCGTTTATATCGTGCCTCACGGGTGGCGTATACGAAAGCGTTTTCCTGTCCTCATTTTTTACTTTCTTTATGAAAATTTATGTAAAGAACATATTATCGCGTATGTGTTTTAAAACGTTATAAAAATAATTAATATTACAGCCAGAAGGATGATGTGGCTACTACGAAGAAGAAAAAGTTGGAAAATGTTGAGTATAAATTTTCCTCGAATCGTAATGATTTATACGGACTTTCTTGCGAGGATTCATCGTCTAACGAGACGGCTTAAAGCTTTGTAACGTCGATCTTAAACTCCGTATCAATTCTACTATGAATAATGTCACTGTGATGACCTTCGGAAAAAAACATTTATTAATAGAACGCTTGTGAAATAGGAGGAAACAATTTCGAGCGTTTGAAAACGTAGCAAAAGCTGAAGAGCGAAGAATCGCCTATTACAGCACTTGACGTGTTAAGATAAAGTTTGTCGGATATTTCAAAGAAATTGCGATCATTCGAACCTACTACTAAAACAATGTACATACATTAAGGCCCCTTTCAGGACGATGGGGTGGTGGGTTGGTTGGACGGTGATTTCCAAATCCAATCGTCTTTACGAGCACCCACAGCGCAGATTGCCGGTCTTGAAATCGGGATGGAGAGAGGCCATTATCATCGTGGTGGCGGTCGCTAGTGGATGCGAATTTTATACGGTGGTCATTCAATTCGCGTGTTACTGCCCTTGAATGCAATCTCTTAGGTAGCGAGTCCTGCCGACTCTAAAGATAGATAGATCCCGGAGTGCACAATTGAGAATATGGAGGGTCCTCTCATTGTCTCGATATCTGATCGCAGTGAGCGACGAATAAAACCGCTTTAGTCGGTTACTGCCGATTGCCTCACCGTCGTTACGTTTAATACGTACTTCGTGTACGAGCTCCGATATCTACACCGCGTGCACGCGCTTATCTAATTTCAATGAATTATCGAAGAAATTTCGGATAACGGATGTTGGCACGCGCCACGCATTTTCGTCCGTGTGCAACTTCCCAGCTTGCCTTCTCTCTCTTTCTCGCTTGTACCACAGGGTATACTACTTTCCCAACTGTTCTTCGCGAAATTATCTCGTAGCCTAAGGGTTGCCATCTGTTTCGACGGGGGAAGCCACCCCTAATTACGTACGGCGACAGTTGTAAGGGCGTTCGATCTAATATCTAACGTCCAAGCGCGGTCTGCGTTTATACGTGTCGAAAATACGAACGATTTTCATGCGTCTCTCGGTCCCTCGCTTTATCCCGTAAAAAGCGAGCTTATTGCTCTGCGTAGCATGAATAATTGTAGCCATAGTACACGCCAGGCAAAGAGAAGCAAATGCCCCTCCGTTTTCCCCATTTCCGAATATCTTTTCTTTTATAAGAGCTATACGTATTACCCATTGTAGTCATACCATAGTGAGCATAACATTTGCACTTTTTTTAAGATAATCTTGCGCGAAAAATAAGAAACGTTTAGCTTCCTTTATACAAATGTATTTCAAATACTATATTTATAAATAACATAATTACGTTCGGACGAAAGTTTTCATCGGATTTGCTCGAAATTAATAAAGAATACATTATTTGTTCTCTCGAGATTCGATTCTCAAAAAAAAAATGCTTAGGACATTTATAAGATAAAAGCTATGATGGAACGTCTAGTATAGCTGAAAGTGCGTCTCGATCGTGTAATTGTTTTGAAGTATCTTTCCATCAGTTTGTCAATCTGATTTTGCGATTTTATCATTGTGAGATCGCACAGCACAATATGCACGCGTACGTGCGTATGCGGCAAACGTGTGCCATCTGCTTTTAAGTAGGGTAAGTGGGTGGATGGGAGTCGCTTCTGAACGCGCACACGTACGTGTAGGTGGAGGGAGGGTTTCACGTACCGCGCACCCCTGGGATTCTC